CCTCGACCCCGGCGCGCCCCGCGGTGCTGCCGCAGCCTCCGTTCCGCCGCCTGGGACCGCTACTTTGTTTGGCTTCACCGTTGCGTTTCCCCATCGTGCACTTTGCAGCCGCTTTTGAAGGATTCCCGTTTTCCCCAGATTATCTCTAATTCAATGTATAAATACCCGTTTTAAACACGGGAGAATTCAAAAGCTCTCTGCTCGGTTCCTCACGTCGTGGTTTCAGGAGGGTTGGTTGGTTGGTTTTTGTCCAGGCACAAGTGTTGACAGCAGGTCAATTTATGTCTTAAAGGGATTACTTTTTTAATTGCAAGCTGAAACGAGGTAAACGATCCCGCCGTGTGCACAAAGCAAGTGCCTCCGTTTTGAGACAGTTACGCTCCGTTGCGCGTATGTAAAAACGCGGTTGAGCTGTGAGAAAACCACAAATGGCAATTCTGTGGCGCGGTGCCGCGGTTGGAGAGGTTGGGATTGAGGCTGGGCGTTTGCGTGGGACCTGCGGCTCTTTCATGTGTAAAACCTGAAGCAGCAGTGTTATTTGGAAGGGAACCCCAGGGTCTAAAGAGCTCTCGCAGGGCCTTGTCACCTTGCACGGGGTGATTCCCGGCTTCTGCAAAGTTACGAGTAGTTTGTAAAATTTGTTTTTCTGTTTGTTTGTTGGGTTTGTTGTGGGTTGTTTTTTTTTAGGGGGGAGGGGTAAGAAAACACTTTCCCTGTGGTCTCCCTCTTCCCGCGTTTTCTCAGCTCCTGAGGGTGTATTTTCAAGCTTGACGTTATACGGCGAGTTGGCATTTACAGAAAATGAAAGGGGGGGGGAAAAAAAAAAGAATGGAATGAAACGCTGGAGTATTTACATGAAAAAGAGGGGCTGGTGTTGTTTTGTTTTGTTTTGTTTCACTGAGGTTTTTTAAACGGACAGGGGATTTAAACCCGATCTGGAAGAGGGGTCGGGACCTGCACCCCCGACCTCCGCCGCGGGTTCCCCGGGACCGGGGTCCCCTGGCCCCGGACAACCCGCGGCGGAGGTCGGTGCTGGCTTCGGGCTTCCCGGCAGCTGTGACAGCAACCCGTAAGATGGCTGCTGTCATCCCTGCTGCTTTAAGACGGGCTCTTAAGGTGGAGGAGCCGCTGCCCTGTGCGGCGGCTGCCCCAAGCTTTGCAGCAATTTAAAGGAGAATAATTTAAAATTGTAAGACAGAATTATTTATTTATCAAACTGTCTCAATCGTGTTTTAAAATAACACCCGCTGTATGATAACAGTCTCTTAAGAACCTCTTTACTTGCATGTTTTTTTTATGCCCTATAGGTTTCTGTTCGCCTCCCAGATTTGAAAATGAAAGTGTTATTCCTTAGTTTCACTTTCAGCTTTCCTACTGCTCTTCTGCAGAAGCAAATGTAACAAGAATGCGTCTGGATCAACATATTGGCTCCTATGGACCACTTAAAGTCCAAGCCTGAACA